ATTTGTTTTTTACCAGCTCTGGGATCTGCTGTTGTAGCTTTTCTGTAGGAAACTTCATCAGTTTTCTAGTGGGTCAGGGATAGTTAGGAATGGTGATGTAGGAATTCGACTCAACAGACTTGCAACCATTTATAACTCTTTTCCCAGAAGAATATGTCTTTAATTTTGAACCTTTTGGGATTTCTGCATTTAAAATTGGACCCAGGTTTCTAGGATATGTTAATTCAGGTGCATTTCTCCATCTGCTGTCTAGCTTCTAAAATTCTGTTCCCATTCTCTTTATGCTTAGAGGTTTTCATTTTTTAAATCCTATCATTTTATTGCAGTTTCAGGAGACAGCAGAGCTCAATTCATGTATTTAATCCAATATCTGTAACCAGAAACATCACCAACTTAATCCAGAGTGCAAATGCTAGCAGTAAGGTATTCAGAACAGAAATAGTCACGTTATAGGTGGCAGAAATAGTTATGTTATAGGGAACACATTATAGATATGATCTGGAGCAATGTTTTCCATTCTGAGTACCTCAATATATGGTTGACAAACTACAGAATGACCAGAGAAGAGAGATGACAATGGTTCAAGATGCAAAACCAAATTACATGAGAAGCAGCTGAAAAAATTATTGATATTTATTTAGAGAAAAGACGGCTTCAAAGATGCTGTGACAAAAATCTGAATGCCGCTAAGTTGAACATCTATGGGCCAATTATGTTGACTCTCTGTTCAAAGGTTGGGAGTGAAATATTATAGCTCCTTTTAAATATTTAATTGGCTGTTACATTCACAATGGATGAGACATTAGTTTGGTTTCAGGGGACATAAAATGGATGACCAAACCAAGTGAAAACAAAAGACCTTTTGGTTTGGTGACTTATAAGGAGAACCTATCATAGGCATCTGAGACACAAATGTAAACAGACACCAACCAAGTAAATAACATTCATGTGTGAAGTGGGTAAATAAAAATATTAGCAAACTGAAAAGAGTATGCCATGCATAAAGTGATAGCAATATTGAAAGATTCCAACTTTTCAAAAGCAGTTATGTATTTTGATATTTATTTGTAATATTATAATTCTTGGGCATTATTTTTTAAAATTCTGTATCTTTTACCAAACATATTGTGGGGGGGGGGTGAATTTATCTTATGGGATCTGGCTTGTGACCTCTCCAATGCTTAGGTCAAACTTTGGCTATTATCACTGGAATTGTCCAAGCAGGACTGGATGGCCATGTATCAGGCACACCACTGAAAATAAAATTGAATTAAATAATGTCTACTTGCCTTTTCACATCAGAGACTTTATGCCTGAAGTTTGATTTTTTTAAAGATGTAGTTTCCTGTATTAATTGTGCCCATTGTATGACACCCAGTTTTTAGTTTTCCTTCTTGCCTCTTTTACCCTTTTTGGTCATTTAACATCGCTGTGTAAACCACATGTAAACTGTGCCATTCCTATGTGGCCATTTATATGTGGCTCTTTTAAAAGAATCATCCAGGAATGAGGCACAACTGTAGACTACATTGATATAAGTGTTACTTGTTGTTTTCAATAATCTACATACACTATATCCCAAAGTTGTGTTTACTGAATTATTCAAGAAAAAAATAATATATGCATTGTGGATTTATGCTACCTGTAATTTAAAAGTCGGGATAGTATGTTTGAGGTCATAATCCATTCCTCTAGTTTACATTTGAGGGGTTGAGACCTAGAGAAGTTAAATGAGTTGCCAGGTTGTGCCTGGTACATAGTACTTGGTGTTGGGGAGTTAGAGAAGGAAGAGAAGACATGACCTTATTATGCTCAGGAAGTTTACAATCTCAAAGAAAGAGACAAGACACCATACAAATATCTATTGGAAGCAATTGAAGGTATAGAGATTCCCAAATCAAGTAGTTATACTTCATTACAATTATTCCTCATAGCTTTGAAATTCACTACAAACAAAAAAGAAAAAAAAGATAGTATGAAACCTGAATACTGGACAATCTCCATGTTGTGTAGTTTCCCCATCTTTGGTTTGTGATCTTCCATCTCCTTCCTGCCAGTACTTTATGTTGGAAACTTTCATTATCAAATAACTAAGACTGGGAATGAGAGATGTATAGAAGAGTAATAATGAAGAGTAAATGTTAGTTAGCTATGAAATAATTAGCTTAGCAACCAAATAAACATTAAAATGAGTGCTCCCTTAAATTTAGTAAGGAAATTATTGAGTATTTTTAAAGAATTTTATTATATTTCTCTCCACTTTCTATAATCCAGTCTTGACTCCTTCCTTACAACCCTGATTTCTTTTCATAAAGAAAATCTAGAAAGTAATCATCTTATCTCCATAAATACAAATGCTGTTCTGGAGACAATTACTAAGTGAATGAAATTACAAATTAAATAATTCCATTTTCTTCTTAACATGTTAAAGTAAGAAAGACATAAATATCAAAAGATTAAGCCTATCATTTTAAAAATAACCCTCTCATGACTGGGAAAGTTTAAACACGTACAAAAATAAGGTGACAGCCTTTCATGAAAAGAAAATGCAAGCTTTGAATTTTGGCGTTACATTTATAGATGATCTTCCAAGAAGATATGTGAAAGGTATTATTCATTGAAGGAAACTGGAAGGTATAATATGATAGAATAAGGATCACATTTTTCTCTTTGAGGTGATTTATATTTAAATGAGTTCTCCATAATCCTTTAAACTGAAGTGCAAATTGGTTATCAAAGTCCTTTGCTGTAAGGGTTGTTTTACATAATAACGAATTTCACAGAAGTTCCTCAAAGGGAAATACTGATTTAGGCGACATCACAGAATATTTCAGTTACAGCCACATTTTAGATTAGTGCCATAGACAGCATATAAAAAACTTTCTAAAATCTAAATTTCTCTATTAAGAAGTGTAGGCAGTGTTTTTGTTGTCTTCAAATAAATAAATACCCAGTAATGTGATTTTTGGATCATATGGTAGTTCTATTTTTAATCTTTTGAGGACCCTCCATCTGTTTTCCATAGTGGAAAGTTACAATCCCACCAACAGTGCACCAGGGTTCCCTTTTTTCCATATCCACACCAGCACTTGTTGTTTCTTGTCTTTTTGATACTAGCCATTCTGACAAGTGTGAGGTGATATTTTACCTGGTGGTTTTGATTTGCATTCCCCTGGTGATTAGTGATGGCTGAGCCTCTTTTCATGTCCCTGATGGCCATCTCTGTATGTCTTCTTTAGAAAAATGTCTACTCCGATCCTTTGCCCATATCTTTTCTCAGTAGAAAATATGTTGATAATAGAAATTTTTAATACAATGATTGTTTTATCTACTCTTTCTCATCCACATTAGTGAGAATCTGCCATTCCAAGTGCTGGGTATATAGCTCATGTTTTTAAAAAAAATGGGTTGTGTGAAAATAGTAGGAAATATTCATTTGCCTATATATGCTTGTGTTACTACCAATGCCAAACAGCTCCAGTTATTGAGCCTTTACTCTGTGCTAATTACTGTGCTATATAAGTTACATATGATACTTTGTTTCTCACAGTGTGAGGTAGGGATTACTATCTTTATTTTATAAATGAGAAACAGGAGGCTAAGTCAGTGGTGCGTGAGAATCTGAACCAGAGTTTATTTCTCTCATTCACTCTGCTATACCACCAACTCATCTGCCTTCTTTTCATCTTTGAGTCCTAGCTCATCACCAGGAGGTAAAAGCTCTAGTCCTCACCCAGTGATACAGTGAACACATAGGCAGGTTCCTCTTTGCTGTGTAGCTCACAGGCCCCAGGATCCCAACCAGTTCTCATCAGTTAGGAGTAACCCAGGGGGCCTCAGTCAGTGAAATCCTGGGACCAGGTCCTGGGTGGAACCTGAGATTGAAACCATAAATGGGAAGGGCACTGGATTCACTCACAAGACTGTGGTTTGAGACCCAGGTCTATCACTCACTACTCAAGTGACTATGGAAAAATCAATCTACCTCCTTGAACCTTTGTGTTTTCATCTGTGCAATGAGGAGGGTGGATTTGATCAATGGCTTTCAAAACTGTATTTTTTAAGAAGCGAAGTTCTTTTTTTTCCCCCTGAGATCAAGAGTTGGACGCTTAACTGACTGAGCCACCCAGGCGCCCCTGAAAAGTGAAGTTCTTTTAGCAAATGGAGTCGTATGTTGAAACCCAGTAATAAAATAGATACAGAGGTAGAGCAAGGGCAGGATCTGGAGGAGGCATGAGTTCATCTATCTCCTGGGCCTCCTTCTAACCTTCATCCTATCTCCAGGGAGCCTCTGAGGCATGTGAGGCCTTGCAGAACATGATTTTCAAACTGTGTACTCGCTCAGCTCTAACTTTATCCCAGTTCTCATATTCTATGATTTAAAAAATATCTGTAGCCACTTGACGAGGGCATTAGAATTGTATTAGAAGAGAAATAAGGTCAAGGATGATAGTTCAAAGGAGAAGGGGCATTAAGTTGTAAAAGATATAATCAAATGACTTGACTGGGGATGGCCAGGGGCATGCTCTTGATGCGGAGGACCCTGAAACTGGGTACTGGTTTTACAGGGACTGGAGCAATGTAGGGGCTGGGCTTTATAATCCTTGTTTCTGAAATCTGTTGTATTTCTGCAATTAGTTTATTTAAATATATATTATTTTAGTCTGACAGTGATATTCCAGTGGTTGATTTTATTTTCTTAAAGGATTCTTGATATTGAGCTATTAACTTTTAATTATAATACAACTATGATTATTACCATCAAAATACTTTTCCTTGTTTAAAAATATGAAGTTTAGACAAATTGGTTCATGTTCTCTAATGAGTAAAAGCTCAGATTGTATTGTTGGCAACTCTTGGCTTAAAGACCTTCTTCATGTGTCTGTATTAACCTGTTAAACTTGGCCAGCATCTCCCGGGCCCTGCGCTGTTCCTGTGACTGACACCGTTTCACCGGTTTAACTGTGACATGTCTGTGGCCACAGATCTTTTTCACTTACCTGCCTCCGCCTTCTGCTGCTTCTCAATTTTCTCCAGGCGCCCCAGCAAGGAGTCAATTTTCGTTTTGATCTGGGTTAATTCTTTCTTGATTGTCTGTAACTCATCTGATTTCACTGGAAAGGGGAAAAGGGAAAGAAAGCAACAGAATGTCAAATGTACCATTACTCAGGTAGAACACAACTCACAGACACCCCGTGTTTTCTCAAGATGGTGTCAAATTACATAGGACACTTTTCAATCTTATCAGCTTCTCGTTACTTCCACTGATCCTAGAATACCGGAAGACATTGGCAATTACAGTGATTTTCAGTGACGTGAGCATTTGATACTAAATCTTTTCACTGAAAGTTACACAAAGGGATGGAGTAATCTGGAAACATCAAATAACTAAATGATACGAAACTCAGTTTTGGCAAGTAGTAGAGTTAATCTGCACTGTAAAATGGATTCAGACTGAGGAATGATAAAATCATGGCAGATATGTTAGTACTACTTTGAGGTCGATGTTGTAATACATATTTCAGGAGTCAATGATATTTTTAATCTAGTCCCCTGGTATTTTATTGAAACCAGGATATAACGTTTATCCTCTGAAGAAATGTCTTAGATGCTAGAGAACTCTAACAGAACTCTTGCTACTTCACCTACTCTTTAAAAAAATGAGGCAATGGGTTGTATGTGTCCCTAAAAGCCGTGGCGCTGGAGGGAAGAAAATTCACTGAAGTTCCCACTGGTATTTTCTACAGTAGTGGTTCTCATTCCAGGTTTTGGATATTTAGTATGGTTTCAAAGAAAAGCAAGTGGGGACGAACACAAGACTGGCAACTTTTCATTTTGCCAAGTAAGGATGTTAAAAACAACAACAAACATCCTACTATCAACAATAATAATTATTTTATAAAGAAGAGGCTTAAGAAAAGGACATTCTCCTATTTAAAGGGCAGTCCTTCAAATGAAATATATTTATGTTTATGAAAAATTCACTGCACTGTTGCTATTTTCTCATTTTTTGAGAACTATTGGGAAATTTGCCATGAACCCACAATAACGAAAGATCGAAGATTTCAAAGCTATCATTACAGAAAATCTGCATCTGCCTAGGAGTTTTCAGTAGGTGGGGTTTCAGGTGTCCATGCCTCAGCAGAGACGCTTCAAGATCGGGGGGCACAGAGCTTGATGTCAGCCTATTAATCCTCTGTTACTTTTTTTTTTTTTTAAAGATTTTATTTATTTATTTGAGAGAGAGTGAGAGAGAGAAAGAGCACAAGAGGGGGAGCGGGAGAGGGAGAAGCAGACTCCCTGCCGAGCAGGGAGCCCGATGCGGGACTCGATCCCGGGACTCCAGGATCATGACCTGAGCCGAAGGCAGTCGCTTAACCAACTGAGCCACCCAGGCGCCCTATCCTCTGTTACTTTTGCTTCAAGTTTGTGATGATCTCAGCCTGGTTATTCCCCAGAAATTTTGGAAGAAATGAGCATTTAGCTTCGTTCTTTAGTCTTCAGGAAATTTTTTTTTATAAATAATAAAAACTAAATGCAATCTTTGTTTGCTTGGAATAGAGCTATATTTCAGCTAAGATATGTGATATAATATAGATGATAACGTATGCATCAATATACATTAATTGATGAAAGGAAGCACATATTTTTTCCAGTATAAAAATGAGAAAACATTTTTTATTATAAAATCAGAAATTTCTTTTACAAAAAGCAGATTTTTATTTATGATGCAAAGTCGCTTGCAAAATAAAAACTGCAAGAATCCAGGACCCCGTGGTGTGTTCCTATTATGAAGAACCAAACTGAAAGTAGAACACAGTTTAAAATAGAGAATTTCTTCTAATGTCAATTATTTCAGGGACATCAAAGTGCCATTGTGGAACTGCAGCGAAATTTGAAAAACATCATCTGTCACAATTGCAAATTGATTCCACTTTGAAGAATGATTTTCATTTCCTTTGATGGAAGCACGTCATGTAGTTTTACTTAAACCTATCAAATTTAATAGAAAATATTTTATCTTAGAACATTAGATTTCAATGCACGAGAAACGGGACTGTGGCTGGAAACCACATGTATTAGTAAGTAGAGCCACTCCTCAGCCCAGGAATGCAGTTGACTAATTTTAATGTCTTTATCTCCTTAAAAAAAAGAAACAAAAACCCCACCAATACCCCATTTTATAGAAACTACGTTACAAACCACTAGAAATCTGGGCTCACCACATAGGAACTTAACATGTATCCAGGATGTCAAGGTTGGCTTTAAGTCTAGACTCATGTCTAGCACTGTAGGAACACTTCTACGATCTGAGTCAGACTATTATAAAATTTGGGTTTAATTAGTTGGTGGTATTTAAGCTTAGAGACAACAAGGATCTGATCTGCCCAAGTTCTGTCTGCTCTTTCCTGCCTCTACCAGGAAATTCTGAATCCGTCTCCAGCCCTATGCAAGTTGCCCAGCTTCAGTCTTGGAATGGCTAGCAGCAAAGGCTCATCAAGGTCCTGCAAAGCAGGTTAAAAATAGTTTTGGCTGCTTTTTGAGCAATTGTGAAAGCTGTCTTCTTACTGCACTTCAGTGCTGTTCTTGGGAGAGGGCGTGCCACTTACCTGGCCTACTTGGCTGGAGTCCTGTTTTTACCTTTCTTCAGTTGGATTAACTACCTATAGATTTGGGTATGGGTCTGTGTTATTGTGTCTGGTTTCCAGATGGAATTCCTGGGATGAGCCACCTCTATACCTGATGTGCTTCCCTCTAGAGCTCTTCTCTGCTTTTTTTTTTTTTTTTTGGCTCCTGTTAACAATTTCTCTACTGCACTGTGGATTGCATTAATCTGCTATTCCATCAAAATAGACGTGTATTTTACTAGCTTAGATTTCTAAACTTAGAATTTAAAAAATTTTTGCAACTTTCATTTCTGACATTTTTCCAAAAAATAAAAGTGAGTTCATAATTAAGGAGAGCCTTAGATCCAAAGCTTCCCAGTTCATTTTTCTTCCTTTCTACATTTTCTTTCCCCGTCCACTCTCTGCCCACTCTTACCTGGGCTTCTGCCTTTAATTTGCCCAGCCTATAGCATAGTGCCTTCAAAGTAATAAGTCATAAACCTTTTCTATTGAACACTACCAGAATGTCCCCATTTCTATAGGGAAAAGGCCAGAAACCCACAAACATGTGCACAAACCAAACTCTTTAAACTGGTATTCAGGGTCTGCTCCAAAGTATATTTCCAGCTGTATATTCCATTTCCTCTCAAAGCATACTCTTCACTTGAACAGAAAAGCTTAGTGCTTAATCATATAATGCATGGAACCAGGTAGACTCTAGTTCACATCAATGTCCCTTTGGGGAGTCACTTGTAATCACTAATATTCAAGTTCCACATCTGTAATTTCCATCCTCTACCTTAGAGGCTTGTTATAAAAATTTAATGAGGTAATTCACGTAAAGACTTAGGACCACACCCAGAACATCATCATACCCAATAAATGATAGTAGCAGAAGACATTATTTCTATTACTACTACTATTATTATTATTGCTATTATTTTTATTGATATGCTTATCCCAGCAAAGACTCTCTCTCTCTCCCCCAAATATGTCTATCAAAATCCTATATGCCTTTTAGGGCTTCATTTAAAGTCTTGCCTCCCCTATGGATTCTTCTTTGACTAATCCTCTGGAGGGTGCATCTCTCACCTGTAATTTATTTAATGGCATCTCATATTTGCCGCTAGATACATACTGTCTATTGAATTTTTTTAAAGATTTTATTTATTTATTTGACAGAGAGAGACACAGCAAGAGAGGGAACACAAACGGGGGAGTGGGAGAGGGAGAAGCACGCTTCCTGTGGAGCAGGGAGCCCGATGCGGGGCTCGATCCCAGCGTCCTGGGATCATGACCTGAGCCAAAGGCAGACGCTTAATGACTGAGCCACCCAGGCACCGCTGTCTATTGATTTTTACTTAGTATGACCACTTTTCATACTAAATTGTGAGCTTCTTGAGAGTGAAGACCTGATTAGATATTGGAGAATTTCAAGAGTCATGCTTTTGAATATTTTCTGTGTTTTAATAAGCTCCTTCTTCTATTACTGATTGTTGAGACTCCTGATGCTTACCATGAGGTCCTGGGCTTTGAAGCCTGTCCTCCTTAATTAGAAAATTATATTAACAGGTTTAAGAAAAGATCCTAAATTAGATTAGTAAATAGTGAAAATTTTCTATCTTTTCATCATAAAACAGATCCATAAAAATTATTCAGATTCCAGATTAATAAATTATTCTGATCTCTGACAATACAACATTTCAAAAAGAAGGGATTTTGGACAGTTGTTTGAAGCAAGACATATTAATAAATTTACCCCCTCACAGGCTCTCAACAACCAAACTCTTTCGAATGGAGAGAAGGCATCCAATTCCTTCTTTTTCTTCCTTCCTTCCTGCCTGCCTGCCTGCATTCCTTCTCTCTTTTCCCTTCCTTTCTTCATTCCTTCCTTGTTTCCTTCCTTCCCTCCCTCTTTCTTTCTCTTTCTCTATCTCTTTTTTTTCTTTCCTCTTTCTTTCTCTCATTCTTTTCCTCCTTTCATGTTTAACGGAATTTATAGCTCTGTGTTTTAAACACAGCAAGAAATTAGCAAATTTCAGAAGATCTTTAGGTATATGTATAAGTAGGTAGGTCACTGGATGCAATTTCAACCCAACCAACAAATCTTTTTTAAAGCTTTGTGCATGTACCAGACACTAAATTGGAATTGGCTGTCTAATGGAGAGATAGATAAGCAAACAAGAAGTGCAAGAAGAAAATTAGCATGGAAATATACCTTTTCTTAATCAGAAGCACTCTGATAAAAGAATAAAAGAAGGACATATACCTTTGGCAGCCACACTTTTGTATTTTTCCCTAATTCCACCTCAGTTCTTCAAAATCTAATATCCTTATCTTCAAAGATACATTGCATAGAATATAGTGCCTTTATTTTTATATAGAGAATTAGATCATGAGAGTCAGGAGTATTTTTTACTAAGAATAATATGGAATAATTTCAATCAACTTGCTGTTACATAATTGTTATATAAAAGTAACCTAATGTAGACAAGCTAGGGGCTTGG